CCCCAAAACCCCAAAACCCCAAAACCCCAAAACCCCAAAACCCCTTTTAAGTAAATTTTAATAGGATTTAATATTTATAAATATGGAATCAAGAGGTTCTAATACAGCCAAGAACATGATATTTTATAGAATCAAGTAAGTCCATCTGCTGATCTTTCTAATTCGCACCTATATTTTGCTTCTTGCTCTAATTTTGACTCATGAGTAACAATACATCCTTAATGTGACAATCTTTGATAGAAATCACCCAATTTTTAACTAAATTACATGGATCTAGTGCTAAAAGGTATTCTGAGAAGGAGATATCAGCTAAATACTATATTTCAAGTTACCAAACAGCCCTTCCTTTTGAAAAAGGTATTGGAGTGTGTGATCAAGGTAAGAATACCCCAATTCAAAATATTAACTGAATATTTGGAGTTATACGCTCCAGATGTGTTTTTTAGTAACAATTAATCTCTTGAATGAGAGATTCGTTTTGCAAAGCCAATATTTTAGTGCGGCTCCTCCTATTTTCCTTCTAAATGATTAATACTTGTTTATAGATGAAAAGAATCAAGATAAACTCAGGTAAAGGAAGTTTGATCTATCTTTCTGATTAAAGATGTCAAATATAGTTGCTTGGGGCTTGATATATTTGTATCGCTCTTGAAAACTTTACAGTGTTAATCCTTCCTAAGTATCCCTAGAAAGTTAGATCTGAAAAATATGAACCCAGTGAATTTGCAAAAACTTGCTTAGACTCAGTTTTATGCGACAAAGGGTTTAAATAATCTGCAAGTTGTCACAAAATATTTTGGTTCTCCGCTAATGGTCTTAATGCATGTTGTATAGCAAGAAAAATAGAATAAAAGATTGAGCAGTAAGTGCCATAATTATAACTTACAAACTAACCTTCTTGTACAGGGTGGATTAAGAAAAATAACCTATGCTCCAAATAGCCAGAGGCCAGATCACCAGAAGCCATATATCATTAGTAATTTTACTGAAATGAGGCATGGATCTCCTAATAAATTTTCATGGAACTAGCCCACTATCTCTGAATCAAGTTTCCAATGAGTTAAATAGAAGTAAGCTCTAAATATAGAAGCCATTCAAGGAATCTTCAAAATATTTTCTTCACTTTGCTTAATGATCCCTCACTAAATAAATTTGTATTGAAGCATGTGAAGCTAATAGACATTATCATGACTTTTAAATAATCCAACATTTTTAAAATAAGAATTTACCTAACATCCAACTTTTAGGAACAAGACTTGAAAGTGGTGAAATCTGTCCAACAAGCCCACCGAGTAGAAGTAATCTTTAAGCCTAATGTCCAGGACCAAGGAAACGTTTTTATGCTGACCAGGTGGTGTCTGTGAACCCCTTCAAACTTAGAGAACGTTGTCATATATGACTGAGCCTCAACCACCCATTAGATGTAAAATGCCCCTTATTGAGAGTTGTTGGAGGACTTCAGAAAGAAATTAAATAAGGTGATCTATAGCGACATCGATGAAGATTCAGGTATGAAACTTTCCAAAAACCCAATAAAGAAACTAACCCTATATAGGTAACAGAGATTTTATGTGGAAGAAGAAAGCTCGCCATGGCTTTTACTATAAGACTAATGAAATCATTAAGGGCATGGACAAGCTTGCACTTGAGGTAGAACCTGACCAAGATTCTGAGTTGATGAAGGTACGAGACTTGTCTTTTTGTCTCTCCTTTTAAAGTGTGGAGATAATAATTCTCTATAGTATGCTGATAATAGTGACACAGAAGAAGAGAAAGAAGAGCCTGAAAGGTATCATCTCGCAATCAATTCTATTTCCCTCTATTAGCGACATAAGCACTCTAAATTTCAGCTAAAAACAGAAACATCTAATATTTGTTTATAGGTTTCACCCATCAAGCCCTTTCTCCAATGGAAACACAAAAAGTGGGGGAGTATGTTCTCCTCGAACTCCCGTTATTGAGAAATCTAAGCATGATTTCTTTGCTAAAAGAAAGTGCAATAGCAAAAATGTGAAGAATCCTTTCCAAGGAATCAAAAACAACATTTTAGTAATCACAAACATGAGTTCTTCAGATAGCGAAAATGAGGTTGAGATAATAGAAGATGAAAAAGAGAAGCAAACTCTTGATTCAAAGTATAGTTCACCATGTATGTGTTATCACTTAGAACTCTTAAATTATTTGATTTTAGACAAAATAGAGACAATTGCGGAGAAATTTGAGAAGCTATATCCCTCTAATTGAAAGCCTACCTTCTACTGTCCAGGCTGAGGCAGAAAGAATAGCTTCCTAGCGACCTGTAAATGACAAATAGAATCTTTTAAGACTGAAGTAAAAGAGGAATATGTTGATAGCTCAGATAGCGAGGAGTCCATCCAAAGGTACAATTTTTAGTTTGATCATTTTAGCCAACAATGGGGTCATAAGACATCAAATTTCAGGAAGCCAACTCAAAATCAGTTCTGGATAAAAGAGGAAGCTCAAGAAGAGAAATATAATCAAGAAGATGAAGATAGTGAGGTTGACCGTGAAGATCCTGCTCTTCCGTGGTAAATTTCAATGCTATTCCATAATCCAGATATAATTTTCAATTTCTTTATAAATATCTGGGGTTTTGGGGTTTTGGGGTTTTGGGGG